AAAACAAATATACGCGATTTAAATCCGGAAAATAGATTCATTTCCTATGTGTAACAATCGCGAAAATCTAAGAATGAGTTGTTTATCACGAAGTTAGATGGGACGATATTAAAGGTACCGTTTTGACCTTTGCCTTCTTCCTCGCAATTGTAAGCTCATATGCAGGTCACCAGACAGTTGCTCGCTTACAACCGCAAATGGTGCCATTACACATACCTATGGCATACTCAAATAAAAGTTAGACAAGATATTGCGTAGCGATTTTACCTGGAGTTTGTTGTTGCGAATGTAGACAAGCCAATCATAGGTGCTTATTTCCTAGCTGACTATGGCTTCTTTATCAGGAAACTTGTTAATATCGTAATAACTTTGACAATAGCTGGATAGCTCAAACACTGCGACCAAATGAGGATTAAACCCAAGAAAGCATTTTATAGGCCACGTCGTTTAGCTCTCGATCGGCTTAAACTTGCAAAAGAACAATTGGAAGAGATGGTTCGTGAAGGCGTAGCAAGTTGTTCGGATTCATCGTGGGCGTCGGCGCTTCACGAATGAAGCACCGACGCCTACGCGGCACCAAAGTGCCGAAGAGAAGAATGTACCTATATTATGTAGTACCTAACTAATGAAATGCTGTCACGTTGGATTTTTACTATAATTCATTCTCGCCGCGTTGCGAAATCAAGACGAATTTATTCTTATAATCACTAACGATATCAAAACTTACAGCCTTACTAATAAGAAACAACTAAACATCTCTTTAATCAATATTTAGTTCAGCATTATTTCAGATTTTAAGCACTATTCAACTTCCTATTACATATAAAAAAAAGGTAAACACTTATTAGTTAAGCAATGTTTAATAAAGAAATAATTACCATGGCAACATTAGAAGGTTAAACCATTAAATATAGCTAATAGAAAGCCAAAAAACAGAAAAAAAAATACTGTCAGATGGCTGTGATTTGACATTTAGAGCGAAAATCTAAAAATTGAATCAAAGACAAATACTAACAAACTCATTGTCTATTATTATCTATTACAAATTTCTTTGGAAAAACGATATCGTTTCGACGAATTCATGTATAACTAACTGGGGCAGTGGATCGTATTGTTTCTTGTTCTCCGTCTAAAGTACCGCAAATCTGCTTTATCACGCCGAATATTTTCCATTTTTTCACAATTCAAAATAAAAATCTTCTCACAGGAAAATCAAAACAAATCTGCTAAACTCAATGACGTTTTCAAATTTCTAATTTTGCTAACAGCTGATTAATGTCAGCCATCTTGTTACTTAGCGAGTTAAACAAGGTTCCTAAGGTGATTAATTAGACAGCTATATAACAAATTAATCATTATATTTAGCACTAATTAATGTTTATAGGTAAGAACTTTTTTAAAACATTGTTTAAAGCGTTATTTATAGTTAAATACTGTCTATAAATAAGGCTATTAGTCTATAACATTTATGATCGTATAAAAATCGCTGGTGCTAAAATTTTTCTCTGTGGTCACCTCAACGTTTCCACTCACGCCGTATTCGCACCATACTGTCTCTAGCGATGATGTTCATAAAGTGCGTAGGCGCATCGCACGCGGCGCTCTCTATCAGTACAGGCATGTAACCATTACATTACGCACTTAGAACCCGGAAAAGACTCGCCTGAATGAAAGTTCTGATGGCAATGGAAAAGTCGCCTCCGCAAAAAGGTAGTCGAACGGTCACATTAGTATGTTGTTATTTTCAACGTTGGAATACCTACTTATCTCTATATACACACTAGCACACAATTACGCGTCCTACACTTGCGCAATCGTGTGCAGGCTTTTGTTTACTTATACATACACATCTTCTTTATTCGTCTTTACTGTATAGATGTCTTACGAAGTTTGCTTAAAATGTCTTGACGACGCGCCTGGGAAGTCCGTCGCTTGCTTCACAAATACACACAGTTCATATCTCATCTTCGGCCCGCCAATTCGCATCCAGCCATTGTTACATCACTGCGGATGATCTCTATAACAATAGTAATTAATAATGTAACACACAAAATCACTCATTACTTCGCCTCACACTAGGGAATTACCTGCACGGTAGAGTAATAGAACAATGAATTTAAATAAACACCGAGCCCAGAACTAATTTAAAAATAATCGTTTCCCAAATTGATCGCCCTCATCTGAGGCTAACAGTGCAAGCCACCGGGGCCACCAAGATCGTCATGTAAGATCGTCGGTCATTAAGTGACATTACCCACGTTCTACTCCAAAAAACAAACAAAACTTGTAACATGACAAAATCGATAATGAAGGGACTCTCTACATAAATTTGTCTTATTTATAGTAAAATGGGTAACATAATTGACTTCATCTTTTTTTTTTTTTTTTTTTTACTATACCAAGAGAGGGGGCGAACAAGTCCTGCGCCTGGTGGTAAGCGATACGCCTATCCATAGCTATTGCAGTGCCACTCAAAGCTTTAAATCGCAAAGGTCTTAGAGGTACTGCCACTGCTCCCGTCACCCTGAGACAAAGTCAACAAGTCCCGTGTGCCTGTAATTTCACCAGTACACCTACCCTTCTAAACCGGAACACAGTAATGCTAACATTACTGCTTGGCAGCAGAAATAGGCAAGGTGGCAGTAGTACCCTGGACGAACTCTTCCCAAGGAGCTCTACTGCTACTAGAATGTTATTGTATGTCCTTACGAAACAAATCCGAAGAAAAATTTAGGATCATGTGGAAAAGGAAAAAAAATAAAAGAAACAGGGAGGCATAACGAGAACCTTGTAGCAATGTGATGGTTGCCTACAAACACATTAGGGAAACAAGCAAAAAGCACAATACTAATGCAATATCTGTACGTGTAATATTATAATTGCATGTAATCTAACATAGATAAGAAAACAATGTAAAATTCTTTTTACGATCCTAACCTTGGCAGACATTAATAGCTATTTTTGTTTAAATTATTAAATTGTAATTTGTACCTACCATTGTTCTGGTCTGTTTGTTGACTAAGGTTCTTTACTAGACATTCGAATACACGTGTCTATCCCTATTGAAAAGGCACACTTTCCATAAGCATGTTATAGTCAACACAAAACAGACTTTACCTACAAAAGTTTAACTTATTGATTTATGATAAAACCCAAAGTGTAATGCCCACGATACCAGTCCTATATTAAAGTTTCGTCGTCCACAGCGCTCGCTTCAAATCCTTCTGGATACAATTTAAATATTAATGTTAACTTTGTACACAGACAAAAACGCTTTTTGTTCAGTTACCTATTTTTTAATTGATCCCGTCTTGTTATCCAATGGTTATTCTACGCCGATTTCTATGATACTATGTTTGTCATTAATTGAACCTACGCGAGTGAAAGCGCGCGCGTAATAGGTCATAAAGAGCATCTAGATTTGAAACGGCGCGCGCGCAGACAGGCATTTGTCAAAGTCAAAATCGTGCTTCACTAAAAGCTTGTGTAGGTATATACACACTTCCTATTGTATATATAAAACATGTAATATGTTATAAATATATGTTTTCTACGTAACTTTTACTAGCTGGGTAATGGGTTGCTTCGGTAACGTACATTTTCTTCACACATACCCCAGATGAGCAAGTGCCGGCTTGCATTTCATCATATTTACGTAAGGTGTTTTTCTATAAATTACTGACCCTCCATTACTTACCCGACGACGGCGCAGCGCCACGCAAAACAATGCGTAGGAGCGCACACGGGCAATTAACTGAGAAATTTACACTTTGGCACGGTTTAACAATTGAGTAATTATTGATTTCGTAAAACTCTAAATGGTTTAATGACCTTAATAATTAATTGAGGCTGTGATAAGAATTAAAATTAAGAATAACATAATTCTCACCATTATTGCTCGTAAGGGAAAAGGTAAACTAAAGTGTAAACTTTAAAGTGTAAACTAGATGGTGAAGCCGGTGTACGGTCAAACCAAAAATGGTTTTTGTTACACCGTTAGCAGCACAAATTTTTGTATATTTTCTGTATCTATTTCTTAATAAATAAATAAATAAATAAAATAGCTTCTCTCATTCGAGTCGGCGCTTTCGTACTAGCTCGTATAATTACTATACTACCTCTATACAATGTCAAATCATCCTTCATTCATCCTCATTACAGTGAAAGTGTTGAATCTATCATTTTGGAAAAAATATATACCTAGTAACACTGATTACTATATGAAAACACGAACTTACAAGAAATCCGTTGTATTCAATAGGTACTCTATTATGTACCAATGACTTTTTTTTATATCAACTGACCTAAACAGAACACGTATACTGTACGACATACATTTTTCAAATAGCTTTAGTTTCGTTTGTAAAAAAATAAATTAAAATGAAGAGTATGGGAAAATTTTGAATAGAAAGTGAGGTAGTATGGATTCTTCAGGGCATCCTGAGTTTGACACGTGTATTAACTTTCACTCAGGACTATTTTTGGCGTAATTAGGGAATTGTAGTATCAATAACTCTCGTTAACGATGAATGAAAATGTCGTTATGAAACCTATAAACGTATAAAGTCAACCAGCACGGGAGACGGAGGTGAACAGTGACCGACAGTGATTGATGATGGTAACATTTACACAATCAAAAAAATGCTGTTAAAACAAACCTATACTAAAATTTATTTGTATTTGCGTTAAAATCTTTAAAAAATTATGAACAGTCTCATGGTAATAATGATTTTGTGACTTTACTGTTCTATGTAGTACCTTCGCTCGTTGGTCGTCGGCATTCATTAGTTTTTTATTCCTTTTACAAATACTGTCTCCAATTACGTACTTTTCAATAAATAAAATGGAGATTTTAGGGTAAAGGTAAATGGAAAAGGGGTAAATTTAATAATATAAAAAAAATGGTAACCATTTTTTGAGATATCATAAAAAAAATAACCCAGTTTTAGAATACTCAAATTGTTTAATAATATTTCAGGTATGCATCTTAAGTTGAACACGTTAACTCATTTTAACTGTTTTGAAAAGAAAGTCTTTTATATTTAAAACCTAGCCGCGTTTTAAATGGTGGACGGGAGAATTATAAACAAAACTTTATTCGTTTCTTAATTTGTGTATTGGTAGAGCTTAGAAGTAAATAAAAACATATAAAAACAATTGCATTTTTATAACGATATTTGAACTTCTGTAAATGATTAATTATCGAATCGTTCTTTACGAACGTCGTGCGGACTGTACTTTTATTTTGTAAACTGTTTTAATGTCAGAGGTGTACAATTAAATAATAAGGTTCAACAATTAACCTTTAAGAAGTCCGTGTCTATATTTTGAGACTCACAAATATTTTTTGACCAAAACCAAATTACTGTGATCTATTCTTAAATGCATCACTGTAATAAGTTCAAAATTATGATTCTGGAACGCGGATAAAAAATATTTCGGAGTTTTGAGACCCTCTATTTAACGATATAAAATTATTCTAGAATTTTCATAGAAAATATAAAATAAAGAATACAATTTTAAGTAGAATGCCGATGGTATTGCTTTTGTTAATAGAGCGGCTTATGAAAGAAATGCGTAAATCGGTTCTCACAAACAGGCTTACCATTTTTATTTAAACTGTGTAGTATCACATGCACATACACATAAGAATACACAAGGAAATTTCTTTCTTTAACATTCGAAAATAATTTTATACTTTTGCAAAACAACGAGTTTTGCAAAAGTACGTCTTCAAAAATACTAAACAAGCGAATATACTAAGGTCACACAAATCAAACCACAAAATATAAAGGTAAACATTGTAACAAAACTTAAGCGCTTGAATTGTTGGATTGTACGCCTTACGGCCATTGTATCGCGTTTCACGAGATCTGCTCTCAATGGCCAAAGATTGCGACCTCACAGTTAGGAAGTGAACAAGATTACGTTTCAAGTAGTAACAAGTTCCCATGTTTCGTAATTCTACTCTTTATACAAAATTGTACCTTTTTATTAATTTCCCAAGGCGCAAGGCGAAACCAAAAACTTTTTCACTCTTTAAATTTTGTTCCAACATTCACAACTTGCAGAGAAAGCATTCCCCTCCGCGTACGCCACCGAACCGATTAGAGAATTAATACTTACCGAATCGGCAAACTAGCTTCATGAGTATTATTCTTATATTCGTATTATATTTACAAAAAAATCGATAATCTTGGTATAAAATGGTAACAATTAGTTAACAAATGACTATGTTATTTACTTTTCTCTATATACAAAAATATGTCGTGATTTGTACCTAATTTCAATCCCATCCATGATGGTCGTCGTGAATCTCGACCCAGACTTTTTGCCAGACCGGTTTCCACACTTTCTTCCAAGCTGGAACTTCGATTTCTTTCCAGACTGGCACCTGGATTTGCTTCCATTTCTCTACCCAGATCTTTTTCTGTACAGGTACCCACACTTCTTTTTTGATTGTCTTCCAGATTTGGACTTTTTCTTCTACCCATTCCTCCTTCTTTTCAGTGACCCAAGCTTGTTTTTTCTCGGTTTTCCAGATCTGTTTCCACTCTTCCTTCCATTCAAGTTTTTTCTCGGTTACCCACTCCTGTTTTTCCACGTTCTTCCAGACTTTTTTCCATACTGGCTTCCAGATCATTTTTTTCCTCCAGAGGTCGTGACTGGTGTATTCCCAACCATGGTCGTCCTTGCCGAGATATTTCTCTCCGGGCACACCTTCCTTCACCCACGCGGGGACGTAACTCTGTTTCCACTCTGGTACCTGTACATGTTTAGTCACTGGGACTTGAATTTCCTTCCATACTGGTTTCCATACTTTTTTCGAAGCTGGGACTTGAACTTCCTTCCAAATTGGCACTTGTACTTCCTTCCAAATAGGCTTTTTTACTATTTTCCAGGCGGGGACTTGTTCTTCTTTCCACTGTTGTACTTTTTCAGTTTTCCACGCCGGAACCTTTTCCTTCTTCCATTCCGTTTTCCAGATGAGCTTCTTTTCAGTTTTCCAGATTTGTTTCCATTCCTCTTTCCAGATGAGTTTTTTTTTCCAGACTCCTTTTGGTGGTGGAGAGTGCCAGCCTCCTGGCGAACGTTTCTCACGGGCTACCTCTTCGGTTTCAGCTCCGTCTTTAATAGGCACCGCTAGCACCGCGGCAAACGCTAGCGCCACACATATCTGCAACACACAAACGACCAAACAATTTAACAAAAAAAAAACAAAAGAAATCTGTTACTTGATACTTAATAATTACATTACTACTATTGTGAATCTTTAAATTACACATCTATCTATTCGAATGCCAATGGCCAATGACAGAGAAAGTAAAAAAATAGACACTGGGTCTGTACCGAACATAGATCACATGTTCGGTACAGACCCAGTGTGCGAGGATGCAAGTTGCCATTTACATTTTCCTACTTATTGTACGAAACTTGTTCGTGCATAGGTTATAGTGATTATTGTGACCATAGGTTATAGGTTATAGTGATGATTGTAAAAGATGATTGTGACCCTCCCTACCTACCCAATCAAAACTAATGTAAAAAGATATGAGCCAGTTCGACTGCCATATATATGTGATGTCTAATATACTTATTTATTATTTCTTATTATACATATGCTTTTAATTTTGCATTAAAATTTATTAATACGTTATTTGTTATAATTGCATGCACGATGATTCAAATCATCACGCCTTTGTCTACTTAAATACTTTTCATCATATATACGGAGTTGCCGTCTCTAAACGCAATTTAAGAAAGCGCGCTTTTTGTCTCACATGATAAACAATGACGATGCTGTCCAGGCAACTTACACACTACACTCTTTAGAAAAATATCTTTAGTTAAATAGTTATTGTCTATTTTATTTGAATACAACTCGACATTTGACGCTTGTCGCAATTTCTTTTGAACTAGTTTAGGAAGCGGGCGAAGCGCGCGCGCATTTTGGTTATTTCAAAAGCACGCAACGTGTGATTAATTAGGAGGACTTGGTTGTTTTATAATTAAAGATTTTTAGTTTCAAGTTTTGTTGATAAAATTTTATATTAGGCAGAGAGTATGATTGTTTTATGATCTAAATCAAAACAAAGTTTTCTTGATCTACTTTATCAAATGCAAGATATATTTCACAATATCATAGTATTGCGTTTTTTATATTATTATAATAATTTATGAACTGCTTTATACTGTTCTTTAGACTTTGGTTAAAAGAATTTAAATAATACGCAATATTCTAATTGGACATTTAACATACAAAATTTTCAATTTCGTATTAATCATTAAATTGTGTTTATTATTAATTTTTTTTTAAAGATGTAATCAATTTCCCAGGACAATTTTTTGAATCCAGAAAATCCTTCACTCATCACTTTCCACTTATCACTACACTGTTTTAATTCACACACTGAAAGTAAAACCCACCGTGACCGTCAGCGACGTCATGCTTGGAGCGATGTCCGCAGCAGCGACTGCTTACAAGCTCGACAACAGCGTATTTATCAACGAACCCCTCTCTTTGCGAGCGGCGACGACCGACGAGATGCCTTCAAAATGTGTTTTTCCGTTCACGTAGCAGGGGGTAGATTGGTCTTATTTTTTGGATTCCGCGTTAGATATACGCGACATTTATGGTTTTTCGTTTTAAAGGTTAAAGAAAAAAGTATATATGTACTTACTTCATTTCTTTGAAAGCATGCTCGGAATTAAAAATTGAAAGAAGGACGAAAAGTAGATAGAATAATTATTGGTCAATGAAAGAGATTTTCAAAGGCAATCTACCAACCAAACTAAAAACCAAAACAAATGAAATATATCTATTCCCATGCCTAACTTACGCTTGTCAGACATGTCCTTTAATTGAGCAGAGCTTAGAACGAGTTAAAATATGTCAGAGAGATTTAGAAATAAGCTATTGTGGCCACAAATTAAAAGATAAAATAAAAAACAACATAACAGGGAAGAAGATGCTGTAAAAAGAATTCCTCAGTTAAAGTGGAAATGGGCCAGTAACATCCAAAAAGCTAGTGAGAGATGGTCCAAAACCGTTACGAATTGGTCCTTGTATTGGGTACTTGGAAAGCGTAAACCAGGAAGGCCACACAAAAGATGGTGTGATGACATCGTAAGAGCAGCAGGCAAAGTGGAAGGAGCTGGAGGAGACTTTCACGGAAAAAGCGGTCCTTATATAGAACAGTGACAAAATAAATGCCTATACACATTGACTAACAAATAAATGGACGACGGGTCTAATACAAAAACCACGAAAAAAATGTCCCAAGTCGACCTATTTAAACGTAGTGACATGTAAAGGAATATGAAAAAGCTAAAACGTTGAATTTAAATTGTAATGTCATCGCAGTACTGTCTAATTTTGCTTGCTTCGCTGTCAGTACAACAAACGAAGACTAAAGCGTGAATGACGCTCTGTATACGATTTTAACGCCCTATATGTTCGAACACTTTTTAGCGCGGACCCGACGTCCATATAATTGTAAGTCAATGCCTATACAAATTATATTTTGGCTATGTACTACATCATTAAAAATAAAATAAATAAAATATGTACCATAGTATAGGGCTAGTATTTCATTTTTATTGTTATTTAAAATAGCAGTAGAGCTCCTTATGAAAGAGTTGGTCCATGGAAGTCCTGCCACCTTACCTATTTCTGCCGCCAAGCAGTAATGTCAGCATTACTGTGTGCCGGTTTTGAAGGGTAAGGGTGCTGGTGTAATTACAGGTGCATGGGACTTGTCGACTTATGTCTCAGGGTGACGGGCGCAGTGGCAGTGCCCCTCAGATCTTTGCGATTTAAAGCTCTGAGTGGCACTGCAACTGTCATGGACAGGCGTGTAGCTTACCATCAGACGCACGACTTGTTCGTTCCGTCACTTGACATATAAAAAAAAGCATTTGTTATTATTATTATTATATATATTTTAGACCCTCGCCTGTCGCAAGGCCTAAAAGATTAATTTTGAATTTTTAAATGGGAGAGGTTGTATCCTAGCATTGGCACAGACTCAGTTTCAAGACCCGCTGAACAATTATTATTGTTATTATGTTCCGGTCATGTTTCAACTGGCAATCGTACCCATACAAAGAAACAAACAAAAACAATATTGTTTGTAACGATTGTAAATCCAGTAATAGCCAAGTTGAAGTCAGTACGGAGTTGGGACTGAGCACGGAGTTATCGCTGACTTTTTTAGGGTCGTATTCTAGAACTCTACTCAATGCTCAAGTCAGGATTGCACTGGAAACACAAGCACTGGAAATACGACCCTAAAGGCAGGGACTTGAGTATGATTTCGAATGCTTTAAACCATACTCAAATCCTGACTTGAGCATTGAGTAGAGTTCTAGAATACGACCCTTAGAATCATGCGCAGTAAAAGTTTATTAATTTAAATTATGAAAAATCAGCAAGACAAAAAGCAAAGTTTATTTTTTCCGTAGTGCTTAATATTGATTGAATACAATTATTTCGCTTTATCACTGACGCCGGCGCCGGATGATCTCATCAACATTCATGTATAAAAGACAGTACGGTTTTAACAGAAGTAGGATGATTGCCGTTGTGTCATATTATTAACAGGACAATGGCAAAATCCCATCTAAATTTTTGTTGACATAATTTGTATGCGTCTGTTTATGAAAAATATGTGAAAATATAGAGCAGAAATTCCCAAACAAATTGTATTTTGGGTTTACTATTCTGAGAAGTCTGGAATTCAAGATATTTCAGTTCGTAGTTTTGGAGGTTATGTGTTACGTAATTGAATGAAATATGAAAATAAACAACAGAAGCCTTAAACAGAGTTAATAGAAGCTGAATGGTCGTGGTTTATGACGTAACGGAAGTTCAGAGGAAATTATTTTTTATACTGGTATGTCAAAAGGCATGAAGTTAAGCCATAACAAAATACTGAGTTTTTTATTAATAATTTTAGCTTGGATACAAGTCCTTTGAGCCATGTCTTCGGTTAATTATGTTTCTGCAAATATGGCCGCCACAAAGAGGATAGGCAATTTGAGGCGGCATGCTTGGATTGACTCGGAATTCCTTAGAGGGTATTTTAGTTCGAGATTCGTATAATTTCGCGTTTTAATCTTCGATTAAGGCACAATAGCACTATCCTATTCAACTTTAAACTAGATTTCACAAAATAATTGAAATAGGAAATGAAACTATTTTTCCGGATTTAAATCGCGTATATTTGTTTTTTCAAACAAACCGACGTTTCGGGCCCTTTACAGGTCCCATGGTCACGGTTGACTGGGGTGGTACAGTCTTCAACCACTTATGTCTAATATTGATGCAAACCACCTTATTTTTCACTATAGTTACAATACTTAGAATAATAACGCATAGAATGATAGTTTCATATCAAACGAACTGTCACAAGTGAGGCAAAAATCAAATTCATGTAGGCTAGTTTTAGTAGTAGGTTAATTTTCGGTTTTAGTGAATATTTATATAAAAATACAAGTTGAAACGCGTTACTTCCTTGTGGAATGTGATGTTAGTATCTATTTTGTTTGTCTGACGTATTTTTACACATTTCGCATTTCGTCATTTTTAGCTAAAATTCTTGACCTGTTCGTGGTGCAAATTGACCTTGAGCACTGACGGCCCGCTCGCTCGTGTAGGCCCATTGGGCGCGCTTCAATTTGCCTCACTTAGCGTGTGCGGACTAGGTTTCTATGCGTTATTATCCTAAGTTACAATAGTTATTAATTAAATACCTTATTTTTAATTTTACAAAGAAAACATTCCAATTTACGCTACATTAAGTTTTACAAATTATTTTATTGAATGAATTTTTATTAAACCTAAGAACTCTATAAAATAATTGAAAGTCAAAATAAAAACGACACATTTAACTCCAAAGGGCCCAGAGCGAATAAAAAAAACTGAGTTAATTAATATAACAATTTTTTTTGTTTTTTGTGAAACGTGCCATCTATCCCTGGTTTCGGGATTTTTTTTGTCAGTTTTCTCGCGTGGCATTTTGGAGAAAGAACTATCTATTTTATTTTTGGTAATGAAGTAGTTAATCTCTTATTACAAATCTGTCGAATCAGAACATTTGATGTTACGTGAACTAACTTAATGTGAACCGTATCCACTGAATTTCTTTTTTTGCCGGACAGATGTCGCAAAACGGTAACAAACCAAGTAACTGACAGTTGTAGATATCACTCCGGTTATATACTACTTAGTCATTATAGTTTCTTTTAAATAGGTATGATTTTATTTCTAGACTTAAATAGGCTGCTATTATAATTTGAAAACCTAATTAATTTATTTTATTCAAACTTGTAATCAAGACATTTGAAGACGCTAACGAATTATTTTAACTATGATTTTGTCATTGTTGTTTGATTTTTAAAAATACTACATGAGCGCCTATACTCGAAAATCCACAAAAATATTATATAAATATCATTGACTTACAAATAAAAGGACGACGGGTCTAATACAAAAACTACGAAAAAAATGTCCCAAGTCAACCTATTTAGACGTAGTGACATGTAAAGGAATATGAAAAAGCTTAAACGTTGAATTTAAATTGTAATGCCATCGCAGTACTGTCTAATTTTGCTTGCTTCGCTGTCAGTGGAACAAACGAAGACTAAAGCGTGAATGACGCTCTCTATACGATTTTAACGCCCTATAAGTTCGAACACTTTTTAGCGCGGACCCGACGTCCATATATTAATTAATTGTAAGTCAATGATAAATATACACATTTTGTAATGCCTCATTAACTAGAGTAGACTCTATTAAAGATTTAGAGGTAACTTTTAATAGTAAATTATTGTTTGATCAGCATATTGTGAAAAATTCAAAAAGAGTCTCTTTTTTGTGAAAAGAATGTCGTCGGAATTTAAAGTATCAAAACTTTTGAAATACTTTTTTGTTCTTATGTACGTAGCCATATTGAATACGCCTCTCAGGTGTAGAATCCTCATTATGATGTGTATTCTGCACAAATAGGATGTATCCAAAAGAGATGTTTACGTTACCTGCAATATCGAGCCGGTATATTTTTGCCAGACTGAGACTAGGTGTCGGAAATTTCACTTTCTGCCATTATACAAACGGAGAAAAGGCTGATTAGACTTACCTAACTAACATAGCAAACGGCACTGTCGATTGCCTTGAATTCTGAGCAAATAACGCACAAGCATGGTTGCACGTTCCTATGGTTTGGAAAAATTATAGGCAAAATGCATTTTTGAATAGAGCATCTCGCTCGTTTAACTCCTTAGTAAATAAACATAGTGTGATATGTCTTTCTTTTCAAATATGTTACCTACTTACATTGACTTACAATTATATGGACGTCGGGTCCGCGCTAAAAAGTGTCCGAACTTATAGGGCGTTAAAATCGTATACAGAGCGTCATTCACGCTCTAGTCTTCGTTTGTTCGACTGACAGCGAAGCAAGCAAAATTAGACAGT